TGAGATTTGTCATTTCTTCAGTCAACAAATACTCATTTTTGAGCTGCTGCTGTGTGCGTCACAAGCTGGGAGCTGGGGAGACGGTCAGTGGTGAGGGAAACTAAAGTGATCCCCGCCCTCTGAGCTGACGCTCCACTGGCACCTAACAGAATGAGTCAGTGCACTGCAGGCAGCGTTCAGGACCGCCTCACGCTGTGCAGAGAAACAAAGCTGAGAAGGGAGATCTGAGGGCAGCGGGTCCGTGGCTGTGTTATTTGTCTGTTTTGAGACAGGGTCTTGCTCTGTCACCCAGGCTGGAGCGCAGTGGTGTGATCGTGGCTCACCACAGCCTCAACCTCCCGGACCCAAGTGATCCTCCTGTCTCAGCCTCTTGAATAGCTGAGACTATAGGCATGCACCACTATGCGCAGCTAATTGTTTTTTTTGTTTTGTTTTGTTTTTGTGGGGTTTTTTGGGGGTTTTGTTTGTTTGTTTGTTTGTTTTTGTAGAGACAGGCATCTCCCTATGTTACCCTGGCTGCTCTCAAACTCCTGGGCTCAAGCGATCCTCCCGCCTCAGCTTCCCACAGTGCTGGGATTTCAGGCATGAGCCACAGTGCCAGCCTTCATGGTTATTTTAAATAGGGTGGATGGGGAGGCTTTACTCAGGAGATGACATCTGAGCAAAGATGCAATGAAGGAGGTGAAGGAAGGAGCCGTGCAATGACTGACGGAAAGGCATTCCAGGTAGAAGGCACACAGGTGCAAAGGCCCTGAGGCCGGATCCAGGCTGATAAAACAGAGCATTTTAGCAGTCTCCTCTCCCTGCCATTTTCTTTCTCAAAATTGACAAGCACAAGTGTCCCCGGCCCAAGCACTGCAGAGAGTGCAGCATCTCTCCCCGTGACCATGACCCAGCTACTGCCTCTTTAACCTTGAATGCCTTTTTGGGGGCTCACGTGTCACCCAGTGGCGAGTGAGCCACCCTTACTTCAGAAGAACGGCATGGGGTGGGGGGGCCTTAGGTGGTGCCCGCCTCACCTATGACTGCCAAAAGCGGTCATGGGGTTATTTTTAAACATGGGGAGGAAGTATTTATTGTTCCCGGGCCGCGGAGAGCTGGGCGGAGTGTGGAATTCTTCTCGGGAGGCAGTGCTGGGTCCCTTCCACCATGGTGAGTACAAGGGCTCCAGGAGGTGATGATGCCGGGTGGGCGAGGAGGGGAAGCCACTACAAGCAGGGGACCACGGCGGAGGCGGAGGAAGGAGGCTCTCAAAGCCTCCAGCCTCTTGTGGAAAAAGCCCCGCTGACTGCGCGCGCACAGAGGAACCCCAATCAATGCCCCGATAGGCCACAAATAACAGCAGCTCCCGGGGACTCACAAACACAAAATAAGAGAGTTGGCTTTTTTATGGCTTGTCTACTGACCTCTCAAGGAATCAATAACTCCCAGGGCTTGCAAAATGGGATTGAACGCTTTTAAGGATCAAATTGTAATTCTTTTCTCTTGTTCAGGCAGCTGGGAAAAAGAATGTTTTTGTTTTCACCTTTTGAACTTGCAAATTTAAAATCTTTCTTCCTGTGCTGTTGAGTTGCGTGTCCCCCTCCTGAAGTGGGCAGCTCCCAAATCAGGGTCAGCGCAGGACGGAGAGTGGTTAGGGGCAGGAACTCTGGAGTCAGAATGCCCAAGTTCAACTCTCCAAGTTCAATACCCAAGTTCAACTCCAGCTCTGCCTTTTGTGTGTGTGTGGCTGTGCGATCGTGGGCAAGTGACCCAACCTCTCTGAGCCTCAGTTGCCTCCCCTGTAAAATGGGGATGATAATAATAGTATCCGCTTGACAGAGCGGTTATGAGAATTAAATAATAATACATATGTAGAGTATTGAAGCATTTGCTGTTATTGAAAGTCAGAGAGAAGTGGGGTGGGGAGGAAAGGTCAACTCGCTCTTCTCTGCCCTGTTGACATGATGCAAGGACAGGGCATTCAGAGAGGAGGTTTTGCTGCCATTTGGATCAAGGGAAAATTGTGGGGTGTGGGGCGCAGTTGGGTTTTAACACCTTGAAGAACTGTCATTTCATCTTGGCATTCATCATGGCTTAGTGAGCCTGACTTTTTCTCTCCCTCCAATCAATTCTCCTTCTGTGCATTACTGAGCTTTTTGTGAAATGCATCGGAACAAAAGCGGCTGGATCCTGCAGGGACGATCTGTAGGTGTGGCCTCCATCCCCAGGGACACACCTGTGGCTTCTCCTAGTTAATGAAGGAGCCACTACAAGATGCACAAACGCTTATGATCCCCTGGGACCAGGAGGCTCTGGAGAAACTTTATGTCGTGTCCTTTGCTCCCTCCAGCGTCACTGTTTTGAGACCTGAGTGTGGACGCTGTATCTGCATTTCACAGATGGGCAGCTGAGCCCTGCAACAGAGATGAACTCACCCAGAGAAGGGGCCTGACCTAGTTTTTTTGACTCCCAGCCTCTCACTCTTTTAATCAATGCTTTTTTCCCCCAGGCACCTAAGAAAGCAAAGAAGAGAGCCCAGGGCACCAACTCCAACGTGTTCTCCATGTTCGAACAGACCCAAATCCAGGAATTTAAGGAGGTGGGTGCAGCTGTTGAATCATCCACATGGAAGGAAATCCCACCCGTGAGGGAGAACCTTCCTTTTGTTCCATATTCCCAGCAGGGACTTTTCATTAGACGCCTCTGTCCTCCAAACAATCCCAAATTCAGCCTGAATGGATGTGTAAATTTTTAAAAGAAACTGTTTTTAATAACTTC